CACCACTGAATTGCACAGTCGTATGAATGGTTAACATTCTTCATAGCACAACAAATTATCTTACCATTACTTCTCGTGTACTTTTTCTAATGAATCTGTTCTTAGTAACCAAATCATTCTTTTGCTTCACCTCGTTTTTTCAGAGAAGGAAAGGAATAATCTGATAACTAAAACAGTACATTTCAATTTTTTGATTTTCACTCTCCACGCTCCTGTTTTCGGAAGGTAGGCAGGGATGGTATATAATTATCTTGAATAATTGTCCTTCGAGATTGAGGAAGGTTCCTTGACTTATACGTCTTTTGTTTTATATTTAAAAATAGTGCACAAAGTGCAGAACAGTATAAAACGTCTTCTCCTACGTAGCTCTCAACCTTTTGATTTCGATTGAGGAATAACAAGATCTCATAAAATGCATTTCATAACCAAACATTGTCGTAAAATGTTTGAAGTAGGGTTGCGATGTCGGCTATTCAGCCAGTTACACACAAAGCAGAGCGCTGTTGTTTGTTTGCCATCCTTTTTTATGTGTTTCCAATATCAAAAGCACATAAGCAAATAATAAGGACTGAAAGCACTAATTCTTCGCATGAATAATGCGAGTAGTGCGTTAGCATCCTTATATCATCATCATTAAATTCTCCCATCCTTACATCACAATCCGCCAGCGAATCAAATATTTACGGAACATCTTTTTCACGCACTTTTTTTACATCCTTATAGGCCATTGTCTTGGTAATAGCAATAATTATGCAACTGTAGTCATATCTTAAGGCATTTCGGATCTAAATAATTCTCTGGATGGCCTCGAATCTATCTCATGCATTGAACATTGAAATACTGAGTTTGTATTGTTAAGAGCAAAGAAATTGAGGGAAAGACATGTGCTGTATACATTTGAGAGAACTGCCCTTTATTTCGAAAGACATTTTCACAAGATACGGCAAACGTCATAGTAGAAAAGCAGCAGTATTTGGTAGTCTCCAGTCTTTGCTTTCTCTTAGCACTCAAAAAATAGCTTTTGGTATGG